ACCATTTGTTACGTATCTGCTTGTTTAGATAATTTCCCGTAAAAATTCTTTTCGAGAAACTTTAGTGATCCAAGTCCTTTCTTAATCAAAACTAGTTTATTCTTATATATTAAAAAAGAGGGCGTCTAGCAAATGCTGGGACATTCGTGAGATTGCCCGCTAAGTCACGATCCTTCCAGAAACTCCAGCGCACACACCCCCAGCGCCGCACAACTTCCACTGTCGCAACAATATATTTAAATAAATCTGAAATTATATAAGTTATGTATTTGTATTTTTGAATATAAATGCAGTTGATCTACGCTCTGCATAAAAGAAAAAGTGACTTACAATTTCCAAGAATAACAAATAAAGTATACGATGTGTTTTATTGAAAAGATTACAGAAAATTGCAAAACTACATGGTTTACAATCCTCATAACTTAACCCAAATTTGTTTGTGTGCTCAATCTAATGTCAGATTTAGCAAATTAACATAAGTAATCTGTACTTGTAGTGTTAGATAAACACCAACATTTCATTTTAGCAGAATAAGAGAAAAATGTAATCTATTTTTACAAACAAATAACAAAGGAAGGAAGGAAAACAGGAACACTAACAAGTGATTAGGACACAAACTGACCACTAATGTATTGAAACTAAGTGGTTAAATTATCATAGTACGGACTCAAAAGCCCTACTGATCTTGCAAATATTAATCAGTGGTTTCTAAGATACATCAGAACAATATAAACTATTAGAAGTAGAGTGGAAACAAAGAAAGATAGTACTGAGAGTTCAATATTGTTCTTATCCTTTGATGATTTCAATCTTCCATACTGATATATTACAATAGGTTGTTTAACATAGCAAAAACATGATTAAACCAGCACTATCTTTAACTTAAAAGTTTTAACCAAAAACGTACATGATACTTTAACATTACATTGTTTAAAATATATCAAAAACACACCAAAAACTTCTACACCATGTTATTTCTAGAAGAGCAAACATCTTTGTCAATGACTTCACTTTAGGTATTACAAAGCACATTTAGTAAAATCATACCATTGCCACAGCCAAAAAACAAAAACAAGACAGTCTGTAGGGAAAAATGTTTATTTTAGTAGATTTAGTTATGTAAGTACACAGAACACATCCACAATTTGAAGGGAAATCTTAACAAACAGTACTAAAAACAAATTTTACAAATAAGTATAAGATTATTTCAGAAATAAAGAAGACATTGTAATTGTGATATGATTAGAATCTACAGGTGACAATCAATATCACTTTAGAGCTACTATAATCTAACAGGTTATCAGCTTGGATAGACACTTGCCACATGACATATTACATTTAAGTGTGCTATTAGCCAGGCAGAGTTTGGTGACAGTGTAATAAGGATATTAGTTTGGACAGAAACTATATAGCCACATGACATATTACATTTAAGTGTGTTATTAGCCAGGCAGAGTTTGGTGACACTGTAATCAGGATATTAGTTTGGATAGAAACTATGTTGCCACACGACATATTACATTTAAGTGTGTTATTAGCCAGGCAGGGTTTGGTGAGAGTGTAATCAGGTTATTAGTTTGGATAGAAACTATATTGCCACATGACATATTATATTTAAGTGTGTTATTAGCTAGGCAGAATTTGGTGACACTATAATCAGGTTATTAGTTTGGACTCATGTGGCAATATAGTTTCTTATTTAGTTTGTTTCTTTACTTGACATTTCAGTAGCTTTTTGTTTCATTTCTGTATACTGTATTTTTTTGATAAGTTATTTTTTAACTATTTCTTCAATTTTCTGCAGCATAACCTATGTGACTGCTGAAAAATGCAACTGAGTAGTTGAAAGAGCTGAAATAACAATGATATTTACATGTTGTTACTGCCTTATTCCTGCAAACAGTTACAACTTCTAGCTTTTATTGGTATGTCAGCTGTCTGTAGGTAGTTGTACTGAGTTCAGAAATCACAGTGCTTATGCAACATAGAATCAAAGATAAAGTTCAGAAATAACTTATGGCAAACAAAATTTAACAGGTAAACTTAAATGACATAAACTTTAACACACTGATAATTTCCAATCAACAGATTTGGGTACTTGAAATTACACTTTGCCTACCAAATTCCTACCTGTTAAATCCTCTGGAAACTAGAACACTGATAACAGCAGAGTTACACATAACTACGGATTTGTGTAGAGTACACATAACTACGGATTTGTGTAGAGTACACATAACTATGGATTTGTGTAGTGTGAGAGAAGCACTTTTTCTAAGATATCTTTATTTTTTCTTGTCCTCTGTTTTTAAACAAATCATTAGTTAGAAACTGAAATGACTACCATTTGAACTAATGTACAGTAAACGATCATTTCTTTTCATTAACTGATTTTTTTTTACTTGGTAGCATACTTGGTAATGTTTTATCTGAAAGACATAAGTGTTACAAAACAATGGTTTTAACAACCTATACTTTTCTTACTCTCATCACCAAATTAAAAGAAAATGTTTTTTATGAGAAATAGTTTTATGTTACCTGCTACAAAGTCACCATCATCTAAAATAGTTTTATCATGAATCTCCAGCATATCACTGTTGTTTAAGAGCTATTTAAATGCTAAAATGGGATAACTATTTGAGTTTCTCAAAACTCTGTTGCCTAGGTTTCTGCTCTGACATCTCCAACAAAGATTGAGTTTCCTTATCTATTTCTTTTAATAACCTTATTAAAATTCCATGATTATACAGTTAATCAGGTTTCCAGAAACTCACAGTCCAGATCAGTCATTGTTGATTTAAAACATTCTTAAACAAAACATATTTTGCTCGAACCCCAAGTAATCCTATAACTGACATTTTAACTAATGCACAGTAATAATTTTGTTTATAAAGTAATAAAATGTTTCAAAAATGAATTCACAGACTTTGTAAATTAAATTCCAAACATTATTGCAATAAATTATTAACAGAATGAATAATTAAAATCTAAGTTAAACTTAGATTATGCATAAAAGAAGATTTAAACAAAATATTTTTATTCCAAATCAAATAATACTATGAAATTCTGACAAAAAATTTTTAAAAACTTCATTACAGTATTATCAATTGTTATAATAAAAAAAAAATTCGAATAGCAAACTATATAATTTTTTATTGAATAATTATGCTCAGGTATAAAAGCCTAAACAAAATAACATTCAGCTACTTCATTTACCAACAAAAACAAGTCAGCTTCAAATAGATTAAACAACAGCATATTAAACAATGTTATATTAATGTAAAAGACTAAAATATATCCTAAAGCTTTTGTAACATGCCAGTTGAAATGAACGATCTCTAATATTGAACACAAAATTTTTTATAATCAAAATATAATTATGTATTTTTATATATTAACTTATCAAAACTACTGAAGGAGTCATGTTAGAGCAAATCAAGTTTGAATTTTAAACAAAAATACATTAAAATCATCATATAAAACAAATATACAATTTACCTTTAAAACAGTAAAATTTCATATGTTAAAACGATAAAGATGTTAAGATTGGTTCTAATTTAGATCTTTACTTTTGCATTACAAGGGTATCTTATTGAAACAAGTTATTCACTCTAAGGAATTAATAGTTTGTCACTTCAGTTTTGAGTTCCAAGTGATTAGAATATTGTCTGTTATTACATCAAACTTGCATAGTTTTGAGTTTAAGTGATTAGAATAGTCTGTTATTACATCAAATTTGTACAGTTTTGAGTTTAAGTGATTAGAATAGTCTGTTATTACATCAAACTTATATAGTTTTGAGTTTAAATTATTAGAATATAGTCTGTTATTACATCAAACTTGTATAGTTTTGAGTTCAAATGATTAGAATAGAGTCTGTTATTACATCAAACTTATATAGTTTTGAGTTCCAGTGATTAGAATATAGTCTGTTATTACATCAAACTTATATAGTTCTGAGTTCCAGTGATTAGAATATAGTCTGTTATTACATCAAACTTATATAGTTTTGAGTTCAAGTGATTAGAATATAGCCTGTTATTACATCAAAATTACACAGTTCTGAGTTCCAAGAGATTAGAATATAGTCTGTTATAATAAAATTCAATAGAAAAAGCCAAAAAAAAAAGATAATCATGCTGTAGCTTATCTTATACTCTGGTGCATAACTTGACATCACAACATAAACTTGCATGTATTTAGAATGTGTAAGTTGTTGAAAAAAAATCATTAATACATGTTTTTAACAAAAAAGTTATAAGATTAATATACAGAAAATAAAAATTGGAGTTTCCTTTAATGTTTTTCTGTAACTTAGAGGTAAACGACTGTTTGTTTAAATACAATATTAACGTAGTAAATCATTTTCATATATCTTGTACAAAAAACTCCAAAACAAAATGCAGTAATGCAAATACAAAAACATTTGCATGTATTCAGAATTTATTTGTTGAGGAAAAGAAAAGAAAACAATGACTGTTTAAAAGGAAAGTTATAGCAACATTAACATTATCGTAGAAGGAAAACAAACCGTACTTTCTTCAGTAAATTGTTTTAAGGAATATTAATTTAGTAACCCACTTGCACAGATCATTTAACAAAAAACTCCAGAACATACCAAGTAATGTAAGTACTTTTACTTTGTGTCCAAGTACTTTAACATTGAGTAAGATCCCATTACAACAGATAAAACACCCAAAAAATGTTAAATAATGTTCAAGTTACAGGCAGTATCCAAGTAACCCTATTCATTTGCCAGTTCCAGTTATAACATGTTTTGTGTGAATTAGTTGTTTTGATTCTTGCAACATAGCCAGCAGAACATAGATTCCAAGTTCATCAGTTATTGCATCTTGTAAAATATTTAGCAGTAACATAGCTGGGTACTTTTATAATCATTTCACTTCAAGCTGCAATGAAATGCACTATATATATATATATAATTTAAGTTTTCTTGTCATACAGTACATCTAAAGCACATATACTTCTAACATTCCATGACACACAAGCTTTTGAAAGTGACTTTTACTGACACAAAAATCTTTCTGGATTCAAGTATAATGTGAGAAAAAAAAAGGCATAAACAATTAATACATATAGGAAAAAGTTATCTAAATAAGATACAGCTAACCAGGTTGCAGTTCTGAAAATATGGAAAACATTATATCACTCCTCAGCATTTACAAACTGTAACAGATAAAAACATAACAGATATCTAACACCAATACAAGACATAAAATGGTAGCCTGTACATCTAATAAATCTAAAGAACTTCAAGCACATGTAAAAAGCACTATACAAAAAGAAATGTACACATCTGCAAGAATTTTTAACACTTCAAATATTAAACCATATGCATGAATAAACCCACTGGTACAAGTTTAGCAGCAATCAAACCCAGTACACTTAGACTACTATTTAATGTTATTTATTAAGTCCCAAGAGTTATTTTTCTCCGTGTACATCACTAAAACAAACCTAGTTCTTACACATCAGCTTTCTTCTTCACTGATTTCTTCTATTTGGCCACTCTCTTTAAAACTGAAACATATAAATAAATATTCAATACAAAATATCACAATTCTATTGATACGATTAAAACACCAAGATATCATATCTCAAAACATTTTAAGTTATCACTCAAATCAGAAATTTTAATGGGCAAAATTAACTGTTAAGTTCTTATGACACAGGACCAAATAAGATGTTGTTTTTTACTTAAAACAATTGGAAAAAGTTATGCCTAATATCATGACAAACATACATCAACAGCAACATTAAAGGTGAAATCAGACTTAGTCCAGTTATGTAGGATTTTTACCAACCTCAAATAAAGTGCAAAAATGTAAATTAATCTTGGTACATAATTAAACACCTTAAAAACAGTGAAAGTTATAAATTATAACTGTTCCATTAGTTTGTGAAAGTATCCTTCTTATGTTTCTAGATTTTGTGAAATTATTCTTTCACTGCTTTATGACTTTGTGAAAGGTGCAGCATGCTTTAGCAGCTTTATTTGAGCTTTGAGAACAGACATTTTATAATTTGTTATCATTAATTATTCAACATTATTAGACATTCTAATTCTTATATATTAAACAAACTTGTCAAAAGTTCATAACTATCTGTTGCAGTTTCAACTCTTGTACATGTTACAGACTATTGAATTTCCTACACATCACAGGTACAAACTACGTATTATAATTCTCCTACATACAATTTCTGTATTAAGTAAACCAAGAATATATTAACTGTATGGATAGAAATTAAACAGTGTTTAGTAAATGCTATCAAGCAATTTATATAATTGAAATGGAGGTAAAAACATTATTATATTAAATGGAAAATAATGTTATGATTCTTAGCTTCCATAATCTATACTTCTAGTAACTTGATTGATTCTACAAACATACCTTCTACACTGTTGTATAACCATACGTGCAAGTTCCTTTATTCGAAGGTAGACACCAGGTTTATGAAGTAATTTTTCCAACAATTCAATGCCACCTTCGCTCTTAAGCAACAAGCAGTATTTTTCAGCTAAGTATGAAAATAGTCATTAGGTCAAGAGCATAACACTAACCCTTTCTTAAATATTATTCTGTTTTAAAAACTGATAGAAGTAAGAATAGGATTTCTTAAAACCTAAATTACTAAAACTTGATATTTTTCTGATAATGCATATATATATAACAACTTCAACATTATATCTGTTACAGAACTGGTTTGAGTTGTGGTTTCAGATCAGTTAACTAACTTTCTATTAAATAAAGTTAAAAATGGTCTGCTCATCATCAGCCTATAAAACAATACAATTGTAATATTAAAGCTTAAATCACAGAATGCAATGTTCTCAGTCTGTGAAAATTGTCAAAGGAGTGAAAAAAAATATATATACTTACGATACACTTTTGTTAAGTTTGCAAGAGCCCAAACAGCCCAATGTTGAGCTTCTGGAGTATGGTCAATGTGTAATAAACGTAGAATGGGTTCAAATGATCTGGAAAAAATTACTTTTCACTTAATATTAGAAAAAAAAAGGGATTACACAGCATTATATAAATTTAGAAAGTTAAAACAAAAAAGTATATGTTAAAAACAAAAGCCAATGATACCTAGGTGCTGAAAGTAGAAGCTTAAGTTTTAGCAATTTTCATATTTAATCAAAAACAATCAATGGAAAAGAAATCTGAATTACAAGCCTTCCTCATTGTTTTATAATATGAATTAATTACAAATCAAAACTGAAATATTAAAGTCAAGAAAATGCTTTTTCTTCTGCAATCTCCTTATCCTACAGAGGAAATTATGAACACGGAAAAGGTACAATAAACTTTTCTAGATGCTGGAGTCATTTATTCTAGTTCTTGTATGTTCATCTAACCTTTAGTATACATGCAGTATTTTGCCCCAGGTGAATGTCAGAAGTTTTAAAGTGTCTTAAGTTGATGGAAAGAAATTCAACAGCCAATAATATCATTATTACTGATTATTATTTAAAACTATACCATATGATTATCATATTTATACATGAGTACACAGTCAATATGCATAAAGGAATACTGCGACATCAGACTTCAATGAGTATATATATATACGTAGACAATGAGTTTTTCACTGCTGCTAAGTTTTGTAAATTCATGTTACTCTAGCAGTTCAGTTAATAACTCTTGAAACTATTAAGTAAGGTGGCTAATTAATTTGTGTCTCCATATATATAATTCAAATGTTATAGTCAAAAGGTTTTTGTTATTACTGTTTTCATTTAGTACTTAACATGTGTTTACTTGTACTGTGAGAGTTAAGCTGTACAGCTACATTGGTAGTTTCTGTTAACCATGCTAAAAATCAGTCAGTAAAACTGTTATTGAAGTTTCCAAGGGAAGAAAGTAGTCACACTCAACTTCACTTTGACTTTAAAATGTCTTAGTGTTGTTTTGTTTGAAGGACAATCATTTGTCAGAACCTCAAATCTTAAAATTATTTTGTTAGAAACTTAGGACTAAGTTCTTAAAGCCAAGTCAGAGATAGATACCAGTAGGCTGAGTAACTGTAATCTTGAATATGTAAATGAATAGTGTCTGTACAGAAAGAGACTATGACTGCCTTTCTAAAATTTATGATCCCTAATCAAAAGTTATTTGTTATCCTTGAATTTGATGTATTTATCAGGGTTTTACCAACAAATGTCATGTACTAGCTTAATATTATACAATAACATATTTATTATCAAAAAAAAACAGTTTAGATAGATTTTTGAATACTTCCAGCTTATTTGTTTCAGTAGCAACAAAAACATAATTAATGAAATTACAAAAACTAAGCATAAATTTTCTCCAAAAAAAATAAGAAATTCAATTAAGGCACAAAATTAACTAAACATTTTTTTTAAAGTCCTCACATGTAATCCAACTTTCGACATTTAACAAATAACAACCAGTTAAAGTTTTGTTTTGAAATTTGCACAGAGCTACTCAAAGGCTAGCAGCACTAGCCATCCCTAATTTAGCAGTGACAGGAAGGAATCTAGTCAATATCACCCCCCACCAACTCTTAGGCTACTCTTCTACCAATTAATAGTGGAATTAACCATCATATTATAATACCCCCATGGCTGAAAGAGCAAGCATGTTCAGTGACAGATTCCAACTCATGACCCACAGATTGCAACTTTAGCACTCTAACCACCAGGCCATGTCAGGCCTACCATGTAAACAAAGTTAAAAATTATTACGAAGTTCATGATAACAGAAATTAATAGAAATAAATAAATGTAGAAGGATTATTTTAAGGGTCTCTATATTAATGACAAACATAAAATCCCCCAATAACATTTAGCTTAAAACAAACCAATAGGGTTTGATCAAAAATACACACAAACAATCACAATTTTCTCATATAAATAACTAACATTCAGCATACCTATAATTTATTCTACGTGTGCTACTTAAGTCCCATCTTTCAATGGCCTTAATCATTGCTTTCAAAACATCCTCTCGTTGAAGTATGGTTATAGACGACTCATTCCAGGCTTCTACCCCATCAGAAGCAATATGGGAAAGTATCCCTGCGGCATTGTAGCTGACTTCAATACCATCACTTTTACTATCTAGTAATGTACTGAAAAACAAAGATAAAGTACTGATAATACCTCCAGTTTAATTGTAATGTTGATAACCAATGACAACTATAAATTACCAATGTATTAATCACACAACTCTGTGAATACATATATAAACTTCTGATAATATCTTCAGTTTAATTTGTAACATTAATACTATAACTAGTGACAGCTATAGGTTACTGATATACTAATCACATAACCCTTTGTGTGTGTGTGTGTGTGTGTGTGTGTGTGTGTGTGTATATATATATATATATATATATATATA